ACATACTAAAAAATTTATTTATTTAAATATAACACCTGTATGGTAGTAGGTGATGGAGGAACAGTATTGCTAGTAGTCGTAATAATTTGAGTGACTTGTGTTGCGCCCGGATAAGAACGTTGAGATCGTAATGCAGTTGGATGATCTGATGTATTTTCTGACGGAGGTGTTGTACCCATACCAAACATTTCTTCTGGTATAGCTTCACAACTAACTCTGCAAAAACATATATTTACAAAGCTCATAAAAATGATCATTGAAATCAATTAAAATAATAATACCTCATATCTTTTGCATATGTGGTTTTCGCAGGTTTTTTTAATTCAGCATCAAGTTTAACTTCTATATCTGCTGATGAAAGATCTCGATCTACTTGCTGCAAATTTTGTTTTTCTTTATTCAAGAATGGATTTTTCCAATTAGCACTCATTTCGGGACTAGAATTTGATCTGCGTACAGGATTTCGAGAACGACGTAAATCTACCAATAATTTTTACTTTTTAATATACGTAGTTTATTATTTATTTATTATGATAATTAAAATAATAAATTATACCATCTTCACCATCCTCTAAACTTTCTAAACTATCACGAGAACTTTGCCTCGAAGGACTCGGTCGAGCCGGTGAACCAGGTATTGCAATTGGACCCGATGATACAGAAGATATCACAGATTTCATGTTATAATCACCTCGTACTTGATCTATATTTTTATCCATAGTGTCCTATAAAAAGAGATAGGAAAAGAATTATAAATTCTTTTATTTATTTTCTAAATAGTATATATTTAAATTACCTCTGCTTCATCCCCAGAACATTCGAATGTAGATTCTGGCTGTTTTTGCATTAAATCTTGATTTGGCCTATATAAAGCCATTATATCGTACACAGGAAAATCTACATTTGTTTCAAATTGCATAGAATTTTGAATTCTCATTATCCAAGACATGTCACCTGTAGGTCTACGCACATATATTTCAGCCCAACCCTGACACCAACAAGCGCAAAGAACGTGTTCTTCTTGTTTTTCACTGTTAAGTATTTGTTCTAATTTCGATAATTCTGCTTGGTCTTTATTCACTTTTTCAGTGGGATGATCTTTTTTTGTTGGATCTAAATCTTCCGATGTTTTCTTTAACTCCTCTGTTGGAGAATTTGCAGCTGTATTTGCAGTAGAACTACCATGACCTCCAGAAGACTGTCTAGATAATTTGTCCTCCTTTGCTGTCTATATTATCATTTTATATTTTAGAACATTTGTAACTACCAACGAAATATCAATAATGCATGTCAGTAATACCTCTGTGCTCGATGCTCGTCTTAAAGTTGATTGAGATGTTTTAGAATGTTCAGGAGATTGAGGACCAGGTTTACATACAACCCAACAGTTATCACAAAGTCCATTTCGCATTGCTTTATTGCTACAACCACTTGTTGTTACTGTAATAAGCTTATTACCAAGCAACCATGTCATTGATTGGCCTTCTTTAAGTAGAAAATCGGCAGCTGATAGTCTACGTGAAAATAAATACTTATATTTATATATAATTAATAAAATGTAAAAATTTATAAATTTACCTTTTAGGTCGAGCTGAATAAGTTGAAAATGTATACCGGGCCATAAGATCGATACAAGTTTCAGTAAGCTCTACATGAAAAGTCATTAAAGCTTCATCAATTGGAGGCTTTAAATCTGAAACTTTATTATCTCCTATCATGCGATTAGCCATTATAGGCCTTTCTCTTCTACCTCTACTACCCTATAAATAAGAATGTAACAATAATTAATGGATTAAGAAACGATAATGATAAACGAACATAACTGTATTAGTTTTTGTACCTGCTCTGTCAAACTTGAACTACGTTTTCTATTCGAAGAATCTTCATTTATGAAATTAAAATCTGACTTCATCAAATGTCCCTCTTCAAAGGGAACTATTACATTAGCTTTCAAACCCTGTATATTAAAAAAATAATTTTATTAATAATTTTAGTATTACTTATTAGCAATATAACGTTAATAATATACATACTGTAGTAATAAATCGAACAAAATCTCTACGAAATGGTAGTCGGCATTTCAAAAACCATACAGCAATTACATGGTGTGCCAAGGATACTGTATAATGATCATATTTGAAAGGATTTGTATATGGCAATAAAATTGCAAAAACTGACATGTATTGATCTCCAATAAAACTTGCAAAAACTTTTGGAAGTCTAGTAAGAGCTATAAGAAAAAGATAAATAAATATATCTTAGTTAAATTTGGTAACTATTAAATTTTAAAACTTACTAGAGAGAAATTCTAAAATTGGTATAGCTATATGTACTGTTGCTGAAATTTTTGACAAATTTAAAAGTACTTCAGATAGAAGCTTGTTCATCGCATCACGCATCTCTAAAATACAAGTTGTAAGACTAGTAACACACTGACTTGCACATTTTGCTGTTAAACCAACCTAAATTGTAATAAAAGTTGTAATAGTTAAAAAAATTTATGTAATTACAAATATTATATCACTAAATTAATTTTAAGAATTTAATTTCTCTTTTTTACCTCTAAACATTTTATTAAACGCTGTTGTAAATTGGGTTCCAGATGAGCATGATATGAAGCTAATGATGCTAATACTGGGAAAACATGAACACGAAATTCTGAAAGAGTAAATTTTGGAGGAACATTGTAGAGAGACTCTGGAAGTCTCAAACTTTTATCACTGACCTATAAAAATATATTAAAATAAGTTCTTTGGAATGTTTAAAAAAGTAAATAAAATAATATACCATTGAACAAAGTGCAGTTGCAAAGTAGTCAATGTCATTTGAATGTCGTGATAATATTAATGCTCTATTTTGCATTACTTGAGGCAATTCTTTTAATACAAGTTGCAAAACTTTCCAATCTGTAAAACAAATAAATTTGAAACTCAACTCGTAACTTTCATATATAAATAATTATAATAATTTAGAACATATATAATATATATATATATATATATATGTATATATAAACCTTTTTCCGATTTAATACAAGAAATAACAGCTTTGCATGCATGTGCCAATGACATATGAGTAATTTGACAAGATAAATGCTGTAATGGAGCTGGACTAACTGGTGGAGGACTGTTGCCACCTCCTCCACTATTCATTCGTTCAGTCGTTGCATGTTCTAACACTAAATATGGACTGAACTTTGTTATAGATGAGTTTTGAGTATCCAGAAATCCAAGATGATAAAGCGTATTTGCTCTAATTTTTAAAAAGCATTCAAAAATCTAAAATACAGAATAATTTTATAATAAGACACATTAAAAAATTAAAAATTAAAATATTATACATCATCTCTATATTTGTTACCAAGTATCGAATTGTAGAAATATCATGGAAGACAGTTGGTTCTTTATAATGCTGTTCCAAATGATTCACTAAAACTTTGTAAGCACGTATGGCATGACTTGATGGTAAATAATAAATTTTTGATGTTAATATTTTTATCACACCAACAACTGCAGTCTTTACATCTTTAATATCACCATCTTTTGTAACTGGAGCATCAGAAATGAAGGGCTTGTTGATTACCTTAACATAAATTTAATATATTAAAATATATTAAAAATAATATTTACATTTTATTTACATAAATATCTAAAACATTATATACCTTCTCCAATATATCTAAAAGTTCTAAACATCTTTTTGTATCACACTCAAGACAAAGATCAACAAGTAAATGTGCAACACCATTACGAATTGTAATATCTGAATCCATATCAACGTGTTGAAAATATGGCACAATTGTTCGCTCAATTAATTCGTCTTCATATCTAGATCTATTAAAAATAACGGTAATTAAAAAAATTTTCTTAATTTTTACAAAATATTAAATATTTTACATACCTATTAACTTGAACGACATTTGTTAAAACATCAAGAACTTTCATTCTAACATTAGTACGTGTTTCAATTTTATAATAACGTTCCATTAAATTTGCTAATTTAGATTGCCATTGATAATGTGTAGGTCCTATAGTTTGTGCTCGATATTCAATTAATTTCAAAACGGAACCTTCCTAAAAAAATTTTATTATATATTTTGGTAAAAAAAAAGAAATATTTAATGTTATATTTACGTTACAAATATGATAATTACAGGTCTTGCATCACTACATCGTTCAACGAGATCATAAAATCGTTGAACACAACCATTATAATGGTTACTATCCAGTAAATTTTCAATGCTATTTATTGTTTCATGTAAATTCACCGAGACTTGTTTAGTTGCAGGTTGATTACTGGTTTCTGCCGACAAAATACGAAATTAATGAAAATTAAATATTTATATTAAATTTTACAATTTCAGATTTTTACCTGTATGAGAAATAATTTCTTCAATAATATCGAGAATAATACTCCATGTAGGATCCCATAACTCAGCACCATATTTATTTACTAATCTTTGAATTGATAATGTAACTTCATACATAACAATTGGATGATTGCATTTTAAAGCCTTATAAAGTAACAAAACAATAAATAGTATTTCTTGTAAATATGTAGAAATAGACAGACATTATATTAGATATTATTTACTTGATAAAATGAGGGTAAAACTGATGTAGGAGTACATTCTAATTTTTGAATTTTATGAGTCCCCCAGAGACCCATATTTACATAAAATACTGCACCTCTAAGTAAACGAACATCTCTCTGAAAATTTGTATCTTGTAGTAAGCGACACATTGTATATAGTGCAGAATGACCCATATGTGTACCCAATAAGTTACGCATTATCTACAAATATCATATTTGAAATCTATTAATACCATACATATAGTATAAACGTAACTAGCATTTAAATTTTATAAAATTTTACAATGTACCTTCCAACTTATTTGACAGTATGTTTCAACATTAACACTTCGGCATAATGCTATGATAAAAGTTTGTAATGAATCAGATTGTAAATTACTGTAACAAACAATCGCATCTAAAGCCTCTAAGCATCCAGAAACAACTTCACTGATATTACTACAATAACATAGATGGCAAATATATCTAGAAATAAAAACATAAAGTATTTATTTTGCAATGATTATTAGAATTGTCCATTTACTTATATTATATTATAAAATACTTACTGAACAAGGCCTGATATAATGTCTTCATCAATATAAGCCGAGTTAAATTTTATGACATTAACAAGAAGCGATAAAAATTCGGCCCCTCTTTTTCCATCTCCTGTTGTCACAATAGGCATCCAATCTAACAAGAAAGGTCCCATTCTGTCCTCTAAGTGTAATATATCTTTTCCATTTTCTGTCAAGCTTTGTAAAAGTTCTAATCTGTACAATAATCCATAGTTCAATTAAAATATTCATAAAATAAGATAATTTTTAATTATTTTATTTTAACGATTACCTAGGCCCAATATCTTCAGGAATATTATGTTCCTTAACAACCATAAAAAACTTTACTCTCATAAGAGAAGATAATTTAGAATATTGACCTTGAACAAGACATCGTAGAAAATTTAATGTCACATGCCTATGTTCACGGGGCACATCTTTTCCTAAAAGGTCTTGTACTAAATACCATAATCTTTCAGCTGCTTTCTAATTAAAAAAAAAAAAAAATAAAAAATAACATTTTTAAATATACTACTGTACTGTACTGTACAATTAATATATAATCTTAAACATACAATCTACCTACATCTTCCCATTGTTGATTAAGAACTGCATCACACAGATCTTTAATTGCTTTCGTACGATGGTGCACAGGACTTTCAGGACTAATTTCTTTCTCAAGATCATGAGTTAATGTGAAGTCTTCACGATTTTTATAATTTCCTAAAAATAAATTCGGTATTGATTTATTTACAAATATATAAATATGTAATAAATATATAAAATAAATAAATAATATATAAACTATAATCTTAAATTATAATTTATAAATTATAGTTGCAAAATTAATTTACACAACATAAGTTAGAAGTTTATTACTTTATAAATTTATTATTTTATAAATTACAAAATCACCTTTATTAATGCGAAAGAATTGTTTCAATTTATCGTGTAACGTTTTGTTATCTTTATCTTTGGAACTCATTTTCGACATTTTATTTTACGAACTAAAGGTAAACACTAAGATATCCAGAAAAGGCTGTAACAAGTAATAGTAGGCATATCAAAAGTAAATCTCAACGGAGAAATGTCAGTGAGATGCACCGCATAGAGATGAAATACCAGAATACCAAACACCAATCAGCTGTAATTTCTAACTATAAAAAAAAAACACTAATAAAGACTATCAATACTTATAAAGTTCAACATATGTAACTATATTTCTAATATTCTCCATTAGAGGGCTACAAGAAATAACTAATTCTCGCTTAAATTCTTAATTAAAAATAAATTATATGAAAAATTTTATATCTATTATTTTAATAGTTTATGGTCAGATGTAGATGTTTTGTACTAAATCTAATCTTTAAGAAATTATTATGTCATAAATAACTTTTTCAAATGTTCTGTATCTATAAACTTAATATATATATTATTTATATTATATTATATATATATTTTAATAACACAAAATATCACATTTAAACGTGTGAGCTGTGAATCAGATTATTTATTCCTATTTTTATTTAATTTTACAAAAATATTACAATTTTAACATGTTTAATATGTTTAATATATTTCATTCATTTATACAATATAAATAACTTTTTTTATGTTAAAAATTTTATAAAAAGATATGAATTGTTAATCTTAAAATTAAAAAGTGTTATTGTAAAACTAAATGATTGTAAAATGTATTGTAAATACTTAATCATTAGAAAAAATCTAATGATTAAGTATTTACTGAATGTTCGAAATAAAAATTAAAGTACATTAAGTTTAGAATTTATTAAGTATAATTACATTTATATCATATCATTTCTTTCTCTATTAAATATAAATATCGTATAATTTTATATTTTAATTGCGACTGTAAAATTTTCACTATAAATTTGTAGTATAAAAGAATTTTTATAGAATGATTTGTAAATATTTATTCACTTTGATTTACATTATATAATCGACGTTTCTATTGAATTTTAAAATTTTAAACTTTGACGAATAGTGAACATATTTTTTTTTACAATGTAATACGACAAATTAGATTATATTAAAATTATTTAAAATAAATAATTCATTCACATAAATTATCGTGTCTTACTAAATGTTCCATATTTACTGCATTACGCAATTCCGCTATTATCACTTAATATCAAATTTACTCAATGATTAAGTTTCAGATAATTGAAATTAAAATAGTAGCGTTGAGAAATTAATCTATAACTAATCACGGTTCTTTTACGATTAGCAATAAATTGTAAAATGTCAAAAAATTTCATTACGGATATTTTGGAACCTGTACCATTTGAAAAGTGGCCTTTTATTCAAAATAAAACAAAGCTCAATTGGCCAGAATTTGCATATGTAAGTTTTAATTTAAACAATTTATAATCGAAACTTATTTTAATAATGCTAATGTACATTCAAATGAATCATAATAAAATTCTTTATTTATAGTATTATTACTGGATTCAAAATTCTATTGTATGGAAAAAAGAAAATCCAAATATATCTATTCAAATTTATTGTCCAGATGGAGATTATGAACAAGGAACTTTTATTGGAATAAGCAACGTAAATATAAATTGAAATAAGAAATATAAAAAGAGACCATAAAAAATATCATTTCTAATATACAGTATACATTCAGTTTTCAGTTTATAATATATTAATATTTACACTGCACCCAAACAGTGACATCATACACAAAGTGTTAACAGAAACCAAACTCATCGATTACAATCAACAGATATGTTTTGCTTCAGTTCATGAATCTTTTGTATCTAATGTATTTACTGCACTAGAAACTCTCAAGTACTTAAGAAATGTGGAAATAAAACTGGAAGTATTATCAAACAATTACTATTTTAAGCTTGCTGAAGAATGTATAAAAACAAATATTTGGTACTATTTACATTTATTATTATATTATATTAATATGATATAATATATAATGATATATTAATATAACATATAATATATAATGATATATTAATATAACATATAATATATAATGATATGTTATATTAATATAACATAATATATAATGATATAATATATATCAAATATATAACAATTTCTTTTTCTTTCACATTTTAGGATACCAGATGAATGTTATATAAAACCTTTGGATAAATTAAACGTTCCATTAATACATTCTTTATGGCCACATAGGAATATGAAAAATCCTGAATTATCCTTAAAATACATAGCAACGTTGATAGAATTAAATGGTGGAATAGGACTATATTTAAAAGAAAATGATTCTTTAGTTTCTTGGGGTATACAAAATGATTGGCAGGGATTAGGAATGGTACAAACTTTGGAAAAACATAAAGGAAAAGGTTATGCAAAAGTAATAGTAAATGTGCTTTCAAAAAAAATTGCCGAGCAAGGAATTTCAACAACACTATTTATTATTAAAGGAAACACACCATCGGAAAAAATGTTTAAAACTCTTGGTTGGAAAACAGTTGCATCTTGTGAATTTATAAAACTCACTACTACTTTATTAAAAAAACAATAGTAAATTCTGACAATCAAAATTGTCTAACAATTCATAAAAATAAAATGTTATATTAGAAGTTATTGAATTATTTTCTGTAAATAAATTTACTATAATAGAAAGTATTTATTAAAATAGAAAATAAATAATGTTTTATTTGTATTATAATATTTGAAAACTATAAAAAATTACATTTATGTAGAACATGGGATATTTATAATATGCAGATCTAAAATAGTAATATACTACAGTACTAAATACTACTATATCAAAATAACAAAAAGTTTATCATACCTGTTAAATAACAGTATAACAAATTTCTATTTTTATTTTTGAAAATTTAGCATTTTTTATTGTCCATAATTTATTTCAAAAGATTTTCCTTTCTATTAATTTTTCTATTCTCTAAATAATTTTTCTTAGAAGTTATTCTTATCATTTATTTGTGTTTACCTAACCTATTTCGTTTAATGTTTCTAATCTAGTTTTATACAATATGATACTTTATCCACTTTTAAAAGTTAAGTTTTGTTTGAAGAAACTATGAATTTGTTTTATACTTATATTTACTTAAAATAAAATACTTCAAATAAAAGTACTACCAATATTAGTTTATATATTACTTTTACTTATTACAGTTATAATATATATATATCATTTAAAAAAAAATATATATATATTATTTATGTATATTTCTATTTATAATTATATTTGTAATTATTAAAAAAATTAATTTCTCTAGGAAAATAGCGATCAAATTTATTACATACTTCACTATTTCCAAAAGCAGTGTTACCACATTATTTATCGTGGCTTGTATTTAAAGTGTTGTGTTTTAATTATATATTATCTAATAACGTGAAATTCTAATCACAAATACAAATATTTATGTTTTATTAATGTAAAATTAATGTCTATGGAATAATACAGCAACATATAATTATAAATTTTATTAAATTATTACATATTTAAGAGTAAGTAAACTAATAAATATAAATATAATATTGTTTACATAAAACAACATATTATTTCACTGACAAATAACAATCTACGAAAATATTACAATACGTCTTTATTTATATTTTTATAAGATCCAAAATGCAAAGAGAAGAAAAGCAATTGGATTCTGCTTTGGAGGCTATTATTATGAGAGTAAACGATTTAAAGACCGCAATCGCTGCAATGATATTTAAATTGGAACATGAATATGAAACATTGAATTGGCCTAATTTTCTTGATAATTTTGCACTTATTTCAGGGCATGTAAGTTAATGTAATTCTAACTTTTAAATGAAAGCAATTTTGATTAATTTAAATGATTTATCTAAATAATCTAAAGCAAGCTTTCATTTATAGCTGACCAGTCTCTCAAAAATTCTTGGTCATGATAAAGCACCAAACCTAAGGAACTTAACAGTTTTACCATTACGATTAAGTCCAGAAAAAGATGATGAATTGCTTCGTTTAACTGAAGGTAGAATTCCCACATTTGCTCACGATTTAGTACCAGATTATCTACGAACCAAAGTAGAACCTCAAGCTGAACAAAAAATGATCCAGCTTGAAGCAAAAGCTGCAAATTTAAATTATGAAACATCACATGTAAGAAAAAGTATTTCTTATTTGTATATTATATCTTTTTAAAAATTAATTATGAAATATTCCTATAAATTTCATTTGTTGTTACTAATTAAAAAAAGATTTAATGAATTTAAATTTTGAAAGTATTTTAAAATGGAGATAGAATTATATCTCTTTACTGTTTTATTATAAAAGCTTAAAGATAATGTAAGATGTTCTATTTCTCTTTTAATGTGCTAACTAAACATCAACTAGGACTGCAATGTAAGCTACTATCAGCTAGCTTCCAGCTTTTATTAGTTCCATTCGCTTTGGACTGAAATTAAAATGCACAAAATAATTTTCAAATTTTAGAGACATAAAAATGCATTTTATGTTTTATAGTTTTGTATTTATAGTTTAATTATAAATTATAAATTATTTTATAGTTTATTTACATTTATATGAATATAGTATTTTGCAATATATGTTTTTTTGTTAATATTAAACTGTTGGAGGAAATCATTGCTTCTAAAAAATATTATAAATTGCACAAAAAGTATTATTGGATTGTGTACATTTTAATTTTGATATATAGAAGTTATTTTTCCTCTAATAGTTTAAAAATACTATAAAATTTCATAGTAGGTCCATTTAGCGAGTGGAACACTAAATGTTATTTGTCTTTTAAAATATGTATGTATTTTATAATTTTCAGAAACAAGTGGCTCAGTACACAAAAGTCATTAATCATGTATGGGATATAGCAAATAAAGCACGTGAAGAATGGGAAAGTGAAGCTGGGTCTAGAGCAACTCAAGCTCAGACAAGTAGTACTGCAGACACTCATGCTCTTGTAGCAGCTGTGGGTATGGGTAAAGGTTTAAAGGTAAATCTCTTTTGAAATTAATATTTTAGCTATATGATAAATTTCATATAAAAAGTGATCAATATATATGAAATTAAGTATGAAATAATTTTGCACTTTTATTTTCTAGTCTGATTCTGTACAAATGGTTCAGTCTGGTGTAAATTCTGTACCTAGTGGAATGATGGTAGGTAGACCTGGAAATCAACAACAAACTCCAGGGCAAGGATCTTTAGGAAATCCACCTAGTAAGTAAATCCATTATAATTTAATTAATTTTATAATTGATATTTACATTGACAACACTAACAAATATATTCTATATATTTGTAGTGGGACAAATGAACAAAGCTCCAAGTGCAATCAAAACTAATATTAAAGCAGCATCACAAATTCATCCATATAGATAAAATATAATTTTGTTTTTAATATTAATCTTAATATAATAATTATCAAATTAAATATTATTTCTACCATAATTTATTATTTTTTAGTATATGAACAATATAATATTCATTTATTGTTTTAGAAAAATAAGAATAAAAAATTTGAGATAGCTGAATATAATATAATATAGGTCAATTTTTAATTATATAAAAATACAATTTATAAGAAAGAGAAATTCAGAAAATTTATTATCTTTTTTGTGATACAATCGCATATGCTCGCGGAGATAAATATTTATTCATTACAGGAATAATTTTTGCTTTTAAACCTTGCTCTTTCATCCAGCATAACCGATCTTGTAAAATAAATGATTCTGCTGATGCTTGTAACATCAATTGTAAACCAGTATACATTTCAACAATTTTTAGTTTATCACAGTGAATTTTCCATAATTCTATTATATGTTTTTCATGCATGTCAAGATTGACTTGTACATCTAAAAAATAATGTAACATTATTTACTCTTCCAAATTTATATTATTTTAAAATGATATACATATAATATACCAAAGGAATCACAAAACTATAGAAAAGTTTTGAAATAAATTAATAAAACAGAATATAACATAAATAATAGAATATTACCTTGTTCTTTTAATTCTTCTCCTTTTTGTGGTTGTAAAATATACCTAGATAATGCATCTCTAACGTAAGTTTTAAAATCAAAACATTGAGATTTTCTTGTCCCTTTTTGAGTACGTTTTTTAAAGGAAAACCCATCTAAAAAATTTTATATTTTATATTAATATTAAATAATGCTAAAAAGAATAAATAAGATGAAAAAGTGACACATACTTTTAGTTGCATATAATTGTAAGACAGCTCTTGCAAGAACATAAAAAGAATGTTTATTGTGTGTTTCAATAGACATATTGTTCCATCTATCTGCTGATTCTTGACATGCTAATCGTAAAAAAGGTTGTCTTAAAAAGGAACCAATATCAAAATCGGTATTATTAATTACAGTTTTAAGACAATTAGATAGAGGAAAATTATTAAAGTATTGTTTTTCAGTTGATTCATTTATTTTTATATTTTTTGATATTGAAAGTTTATGATAACAGCAAGGAACCATAATAAAAATACGTGCTGCTTTCATGTCACAAAATATTTTTGATGCATATATGCTAAGATCTCCACAGGCATGTAAACCAATCAAACAAACATCTGACTTTTCTTGAAATTCATTACTTAATATGGTTTCTATTGTTTTAGCAGAATTGCATGTTAAATCACAATAATTATATTTAACATGTGTTAATGAATCAGGATATCTTTTGAGTTGTCTCTTTCGAGCATTATTTATGTTTACTTGATTTTTTTCTAATCCAAGAACTTTATACCCATATAAATGATACAATAATTGACAAATATATCCCTGCAATAGAAGCACATCATAAATATAAATTTCATTCTTCATGAACAGTATTATGTAAATATATATTTCTTACCAAACCTGTACCAAGATCAATAATAATTTTAATATTTTGTGGTGCACATTGTAAATGTATCAAATGTGCCAAATGCATTATTTCATGTTGTTTCTTACAATTAAGACCAATTTGAAAATTTTTTGGTAATTCTGTTGATAATACAGTATTTATAATTGGTAATTGATCAATATATCTACATTTCTCAACAAAAGTTATTAAGGTCTTTGACCATTCTGGCTAAAGAATTAAATAATTTATTCATAATATTATATCAACATATTTATTGTATATTTTCATTATATTTTATTATAATGTACTCTAGTGTTATTTATTTACCAACCTTCGTTATTTTTTTTACTACGAAGTCATTAAGTTCTCCATTTTCCAAAATTTGCAAAGCATTCAACCATTCTTTTGGAAATGAATCGAGTATTCTTTCAGTTAACAAATCAGTAACTGGAGTATTATAAAGCCACTGTGTATCAAGAAATAAATTCAATGCATCCAAAAAATATATATCTGCTATACATTTATTTACATATGCCATCTATATATAAAAAATATATATAAAATGTATATATAAAAAATATATGTGAAAAAAAATTTATACATATTTTATAAGCTTTATTATATATTATACATTATATAAATTTTGCTCTAGTTTTAACAAACAAAACCTGTAACTACAATTATACTTTTATATATTTAATTTTTATAACATTTATTATATGAACATTTTACAATAAATTACAATACATTTAATGAAAATTGAATAAATTATTATATATATATCATGAATGCATAATATTCTTTTAATAAAAAGTTATACATAATAATAATAATTAATAAATAATGTCTATTTCAACAAAATATTCATTCAGCTGCTCTTGCTCGAATTTCTTCTTCTTGATTTTGAACTCTCCAATTTTCTGAATGCCTATTTAATAAGTCGTTATTAACTGGTCCAATCAATGCACGTCCTACTTTAACATGCTTTTGAGCAGGTTGTAAATATTTAGTAGCAACATGCATAAGTTGATCTTTAGTTACAGCTTTCAATCTTTGTCTTTGTTCTTGAATATCATCATCTGTTATATTGCATCTAAATTTAATTATTCCGCGATTACTTGGCGAAATTGGAGCATCAAAATGTTGAAATATTCCTAATTTTGCTTCATCAATATCATTTTGAGATAATGGATGTTTTAATAAAAACTCATAAGCTTTGTCAAATAAATCTAAAGTACGAGTAGAATTAGGATCTCTATAAGAGTAAAATGCAAAAATTCCATTTGATGATAATGTTGCACCACCCCCATAAGCTCCACCCTTTTCTCGAATTTCTGGATGTAAATAAAGTGATGTGATCAATTTAGAAAGTATTCGTAAAGGTGCAAAATCGGGATTTGTGTATGGTACAGTAAAAATTGCTTTAGCTGTATAATTTACAGCATATGGTAATACATAATGAATAGCACTATCTTTCATTTCAGTATGTTCATCATGTGTGAAAACATATGTATTTTTAGGTGTGCCTTTCAATGAACTATAAAACTCATTAATACTTTCTAGTATCATTTCCTTGTTATCTGTACACAAATTTATTGCTGATCTCAAATGTTGTTTATTCAAAACATAATCAGATATTTCTTGCATTTGGCTTAAAACAGGAGTTAAATCTGACATTTGTGCTATTTTTTTCATGTTTGAGACATATTGCAATCCTGATAGAATTTCCTTGAACTTAGTGACTGGAGAAACCAAACTAGCTGCACTACTCATTGCATAGGTATGTCCTAAATCTGCAATACCATTGATCAAATCTGCAGCATTAATTTTAACAAGTGTCGTAAATCTTTCAATATCTGCTAATTGAACATTATTAAACAATTCTAACCATAGTTTCCACATATCATTTACATTACGATCCAAACAATAAGATTCTATTAATATTCCTTCCTCATATTGCAATAAACTATTTTTATGTTCCACAATATGATTCATAAAATTTAAACCTCCAGTCTTTAATTGTATCATTTGATCAAAATTTCTATAATCATAATTTTTTGTACCCATTTTTGAAATGATATTATTGAAAAGTGGTAACAATGGTTTTAATTCTTGTGCTAAATCTCTTGTACCAAGAATTCCACGATAATAACAAACACCATTTGTTGGTTCATTAGCTACCTGTAAGGGAACACCATCTACTTTCATGTCTTCCAATTTATATCGTTCTACATCTTCTTTTATATCTTGTATCTTTAAAGTAGGAAGAACATTTACATCCTCTTCTTTTTGTTGTTCTTCAAGAAGAATTTTTCCATCTATATAAATTTGATCTAATTCTTCTTTGGAGAGTTGTTTTAATTTAGATTCTAATAATTCATGTTCAACAGCTGCTTTTTCGTAATCATATTTTTCATATGGCAACATTGTCAACGTTAATTTATGATTATTATCCATTAGATATGTTTTCAGTAATTGTTGAAGATATTTAGGATTATTCTTTATTTCTTCTCTAAATTTCGTAATTGCTGCATTAATTCTCATTGATTGTATAATATTACCATTGTGATTCCATAATGGTGTTAAACTAAAAAGTAATTGCAATCCAAAATTGGAAGTTTGATGTTTCATCTGAAGTTCAATAGTGTGTAAAACAGCCTCAACACGATCTTCTATAAAACCTTCTTCAACAACTTTCTCTATAGTTTCATTAAAAATCTTGTCTATTTTTTCAAAATCTCCTGGTTTAACACCAAGCAAACTTACAACGAACATGGTATCTTTACATTGGGAATCAAAACCTGTCATTGGACCAAAAGCAGTTCCTAGTTTTGATTCTACTAAGGCTTTAAAAAATGCTGAATTTGGCCCTTTCAACAATAGTTGAGATAAAATGTTTATTTCAAAAGTCTTTTGTATATTAGTAATATCATTGCACAAATAACCAATAGCTATGCTACCTTGTCGATTAGGATCTGGAGCCATTGGATCTGGCCTACATGTAATGTGTTCCTTTTTTGGACTATTCCAACGTTTTTCTGAAGGAACTTTTGACATGGATGTATCTATCTTATCCATTAGAAATAGATATCGATCATTAATAAATTTTAAATGATCTTCTAAAGGGAAGTTGCCATAGGAGTAGAATCGAGAATTAGAAGGATGATAATAAGTTTGATGAAAATTAAGCAGATCAATATATCTTAATGTAGGAATAACAAGAGGATCTCCACCAGAAATTACTGCATATGTATGACTGGGTAAAATACGATTTAATAACTTCTCGGCTAATATTGTTTGATTTTCATTGAAAACACCTTTCATCTCATTAAAAACTACTCCTTTAAAAATGATAGGCGAATTCTTATCATTAACATCTGCATGTTCTAATCTCCATCCTTCCTGTTTAAAATCAAGTTCTCTTAAATTTGGCTTAAATACAGAATCCAGATATACTGATTGTAAATTTCGATAATCTTTTAAATTTTGCGTAGAAAATGGATATATGGTATAATCAGGCCCTGTCATGGCATTCATAAATGTAGCTAATGATCTTCTTAACATTTTGAAAAATGGGTCTCTACATGGATATCTCTCACTGCCACATAGAGTAGTATGTTCTAAAATATGAGGTAAACCTGTGGAATCTTTCGGAGTTGTACGAAATCCAACTGAAAATACATTGTTACTATCATCTCTGGCTAAATGCAAATATTGTGCTCCAGTGCCCAAATGAGTTAATTTCACTGCAGTTAGATATACTTCATCTATTTTTGCAATTTCATCTACTATGAAACCATGAATAATTTGTCCGTCTTTTAATTCATTGATACAAGCTTTTGTTGTAGCTCTATCATACTTTGTAACACTACATGTTATGTTTCTTCTTGAATGGAAATTATAAAATTTTGAAAAACGTCTTAATCCAAACTGTCGCAAATAAAAATGTGACACATTCAACATCTTTAATATTATTCTGTAGAATTTCAATATCTGTAAAGGTTAATCGTTATTGCCTTGCGTTAATAAAACAACATATAACGAAAGACTTTTAAAAAATGTCTTATTGTACAATATCACTCACCGCAATTAAATATTCGATGCGTAAACAATCTTATATTTTGTTAAGACAATTTTTTTGCGCAAATTTTTATGTTTTTCAATTTAAAAAGATTCCATAGCACGTGATTTTTCATTATGACGAATGTTAATGCAACAATTATCAATAACTGCTATTTATGACACATTATTTAATTAATAATCGTATCAATGACAATTACGTCGAAAATTTATAAAATAAAAAATTTCTGACTATTTAAAATCAATGGTCGATTACAATTCATGACAGTATATAATTGTAATTACGAAGTAATAAGTGAAGAATAATGGTTAAGTATAATATCGAATATATAGAAAAGAAAGCGATCAATCAAAAATTTGATAGTTTAAAATAAAAAATTAAATAAATAATTTTGTAATACCTTTTATTTATAACATACAACTTTCAGCTACTCGTTCTTGGTAATACTTCGTTTGTTTTCTATTTGTTTCGATATCTCGATTACGTATATTCAAATGATTAAATAGACAAAACTTATTCACCGTAAATTATTATTAACATTGTTAAGTTATAATTTTATAACCATTGCTACATATACTTTGTATTAATTTTGCTTTTATGTATATAAAATTTTTTATATATAGCTACACAAGTATTTTATTTAACTACATCTGTGATTACATACACAGTAAAATCTTGTCTATTGAGAATTATTTAATGAACCTCAGATATCATAACTGATCAACTTTTGTTATTCTTATCTATTATTTTTTATTATCGAAACAAAATAAAAGAGAATATAAAGCAAACTAATAAATTCCTATTATTTAAACTCGGTTGTCTGAACAGCTTTATCTCTCGATGTATTCGGATTCGAGGTTTTGCTCGATATTTAAATTTATATTTAAAAAAAAATTTTAAATCGCGCTTAATCTAATAAAAATATACAAAATACATATATCTTAATTACAAAAGTATTAACACTAACCAATCATGTTGTATTTAGTACTACCAGAATCAAAAACTTCGAACCAATGATTACTCATATTCAGTTGTAGACATCCAATAAGAAGCACGATATCAAAGAAATGAGATCGGCGGAATTGCAACGATCATTCAGAAAAAACAGTGCCGCCGTTGAATTTTCATTTTCTATAAAGTGGAAAATCATACAAGCTTGTAACAGTAAACTATTTACAATACCTGTAAGCAAACACGCGAGAAAAAGATGTAAGTTCAGTTCAACTCCTAGGGAAAGAATTCACCAATGATCAGTGGCTTTTCAAGGGAAACGCGAAAGTTCGATGAAAACGCGATCTGACACATAAGAGAAAGCGACATGGAGCGACGTGCTCATAAGACAAAGCGCAAGATCTATGACGATTGAGGAACGCGCAAAGTGGTCAGATTTCTGTGCTTGGTAGACCGTCCACTAATCCTGGGATTGAAGTTGGTCATGGGTCGCGCATAAGAGCATTCCGCCAAAAATGAACTATGCCGAGAAGCATGGGTAAAATGTTGCGCATGAGATCGGTATGACGGGTTGGTGGTTATTCTCATATTGTATGCGCTTCGGCGACTTGTCGGATCCGCGCGAGTGGAGAGTCTCGAATGGCGCTCATGTATAATCACCGGGAGTGCAATGCTAACAAGTAGTCCAGCTGACTCTGACAAAATGGTAGGGTACTCGCGTCGTCCTACGGGAGGTGATCAATTTTTACACACATAATCGAAGCGCCTCCGCTGACGGGGTACGATGAGTACTGATAACCATGATCAAACGAAGCCCTGCGTCAGCAAACCACCCGCAAGGATCGAGCTTAACGCCGACGAAAGCGCGTTCGACGGCAGGCGAATTAAGAAGGAACGAACTGACGTTTCTCTCGAGAATGGTGACGGTATTAACGCCGGTATTAATGATACCAACAAGCAACTACAGTCGAGTCACCGACCGGCTGCCGGCAGATTTTCAAACGGCTTCCACGACGACGACCTACTTCAAGATATCATCGCGGCCAAGTTCACGGCCCTGGCAAATCATGGCACAACCACTAAGTACGACAAAATTCGGCTCATGATCGAAGATAGCATCAGGTTAATTCAATTGTTCTTTCTCTCCCCCTCCCCCTTTCGCTCCCTCTGTCTTTCTTTTTCTCTTTTCTCTCCCCCTTCCTCAACATGGCGCGCGCGCGCGCACAGACACACACACACACACACACACACAACACAAAATTTCTTTTCTCTCATTTTGTATTCGCTTGTCTCTACCCTTTTTTTTTCTTTTTTATAACATTGGGTTTGGTACAATTTTCACCATCAAATCAACGAATTATTTTAATATTTTTATTAAAACTTGCAATTAAATTTTCCAAAGAAATTGTACATTAAAATATTTAACATTTTATATGCTTCTTTTTTATTAATATTAAATATTATGTAATATGTTTTACCATATATTTCCTACAATGTTCGAGATAAATTTATAAATTAAAAGAAAGAACTATTTTCTAAATTTTTAATAAGTAATTTTTAGTAGAGTTAAATGAAGACATTTGAATATGTTTTTTTTTATTTTTATGAAATAATTAATATTAAAACATTAATTACAATAAATACTTCAATATCTTTTCTTTTTGGACATTTATGTTATTACGAATGTGGGAACGAAGGAGAAGCTTTATTCTTTTATTCTTTTATTTAAAATCTATAATTCAAAATATACTAGTACTTTTAAGTTCATTTTTAGTAGATATTGAAGCAACTTAATTTAAATTAATTTTCAAATTAATTTAAATTTGTACTATGAAATTCAAAATGAAATTGAAGATTTTATAATGCGATATTAAACTTACAAAAATAAATAAATTTTAATAGCTACAAAAAGAAAATATGAAGCTATATAATTTTTGTATGGAATAGAAATATAAATAATTCTCCATTTAAATTTGCAAAGTAACTCAGTAAATTTAAGTAATATTTTAAATCATAGTTTGACAAATTTTATTTTAAATCATGGTTTAACAAATTTATTTTATCATGTTACATTAAATATTTACAAAATAATAAAATTTTTTATTTAATATATTATTAGTAAGTAATGGAATTAGATTACATATATCATCATAATTTTATTTATTGATTATATGCCACAATTTTTATAGTATTTAAAACATTAAAATTTTGTATTATAAAAGCTTGTATTATAAAAACAAACTTTTATATACAAAGTTTTGTATTATAAAAGTTTTAAATATGTCTTTTTTTTGACTTTTAAATTTTATATATACAGTGTTTCATCTATAATTATATACAAATTAGTTTTATTGATTTTTATATATAGTGAAGAATCAAAAGCACGCATTCAAGAAGTTTTTTCACAAATTGAACAACTGAAAATAGAAGAAAAATTATTATTGTACCTGAAACTTCCATTATCACTGACTAATACTGGAGGAACGGTTGATCCTTTGAGACAACCATTAAATCCATTAGGAAATCGTTATGAAATTCATCAAACTATTATGTGGATTAAAACACACTTAGAAGAAGATCCAGATGTTTCTTTACCAAAACAAGAAGTTTATGATGAATATAAGTAAGTAATCTAAATTTAACATATTTTGAAAGTATTCTTGAAGTTTTGAAATTATTAAATTAATAAAATTTTGAGTATTTTATGAAGCAATAAATTTTGTTATTTTGTAAGCAATATATATTTTGTTATTTTATATTTCTATTTTTTGATTTATTTGCAGTATGTATTGTATGCGAAATTCTATGAAACCTCTATCAACTGCTGATTTTGGTAAAGTTATGAAACAAGTATATCCAAGAGTTCGACCACGTAGACTAGGCACACGAGGCAATTCACGTTATTGTTATGCTGGAATGCGTAAAAGAGTTAAATTGGATCCTCCAGCATTGCCTAATATATCTGGCACTCAAACTGTAAGATGGAATTATTAAAAAAATCCTATTATGTATATAATGTATGTGTATATTTCATATATATATACACATATATTTTTTGTTTCTAAATATATAAAGAAAATATACATTATGTATATAATAGAATTTTTATTTTACTATATATGCAGTATATTTTTTATTACAATTAACTTTCAAATCTTTCAGGGTGACGAAGTAGATGAAAATATTACTGAAGAAATGTTGGGAGCTGCATCTACCTTGATCAGAGAATGGGCAGAAAATCTCTTAGGCTTGAAATTTCCAACTTTGAGTGCCTTAGCACGTCATCTTGTTGATAATTTGTGTGTTGACACTCGATCTCTATCTGCTGTGTGTATATTATGTGCTTCAGCAAATTCAAATACAGCGACAAATAAAGGTTTTGTGATTGTTATATATTTTAAAATATATTATAAATGATTTTATACGTTTTATTTATATGGCTTTATGTGTTTAGAGTCCAATACAGATATACGTGCAACATCTGTAAGTGGAAAGTCTGGAAAGCTCAGAGAAGCACAGTTACAATTGCAACGAAAACTACAACAGCGAGAACATATAAGGGATCAAAAACACCGCCATCTTGATGCTGTTATACAAGTATAAAATATTTCCTAATAAGTAATACAGTGTTGATACAAACAGCAAGTATAATATTTCTTAAACGTTTCAGAACCAGAACAAAGAGAAGACTGTCGATAATAAGGCGGCAAATAAAGGAAATAAGAAAACTAAATCTAATCAGTCATCTCAAGGTACAAACGTATCAAGTGGACAGAATGCATTAAGTAAATTGAATTCACCTGCTATAGCAACCAATCGGCAGAGAAAAGTTCTTAAAGCTACTAGTAGTCAGCCATGTAACATCTCCCTGGAATCTAACTGTGATAATATAGTGGTACAATCGATTGAAGACGTACAGAATAATAGCAATCCTAGTGTAGTGATGACCAACTGCGTGAATACACAGCGAGATATCAAACCTAAAAATTCCAGAAAGCGTGCCAATCCAATTGTATTGAATCAACCATCAGAGACAAGTCCTGAAAAACAGACAAAACTTACAGAACAGCAGATACAAGAGAATGTGGAGCATTCCAATGTGTTGCCTAAGCTTACATCCATACAACGTCCTGGGAAAATTTCGGTGATACTAGCTAGTAACCTGAAGCCTACCAAGTGCAAAACAAACGAGGCTGTTAACAATCAGCCTACCAAAAACTGTGATAATGAATCAACATGTTCCAAAAGTTGCATTAAAGTAAATGGTTGTCCCACCACTTTTGAATCTAATTCAAATGCAACAGAGGAATCAAATGCAACAGTTTTGACTAAAGACCAGATTTTATTATTGCAAGAGAATTCAAATCTTGCAGGTAAAACTGAGAAACTTGGCTCTATTGATTCAGATGCTTTAGATGATTATTTGAACGGAGGTAACAACTCGCAAGAACAAGAGGAGGAGTTATTACAGTATTTTCAACAAAGCAATTCATCGAGTTCAGATGTAGAAGCAAACACCATTTCTATTGATGAACAAATATCAAGATCTGACAAAGTTTCTCAACTAAGATTAATATTACAACAGAATTTGAAAGGAGGGATTGTACATGCACCCATTGATGTATTACCTGCTGCTATTATTAGACAAAGTGTTGAAAAACGTGAAATCACTCAAAAACACAACTTGATATTACCAACTTTACTAAACCATCCGAATCCAAATAATACTAGACGTAGAGTCAGTTTTGAAACGAACGTTGTAGAACATGTCCAAGACTCGAATGTTATTACCAATACAGTTCCACAAAGTCCAAATACAAGACGTCGAATATTTAATTTTACACCAATATCGCCAGGCCCACATTCACCTATCAATGGTCGCGCTTCCAAATCTAATTCTGCAAACGCCAGTCCATTTGTTTCACCACGAAATACACCTGTGCCACGCTCGAGAAGCAATTTGCAAGCAAGTAGTTCCAGAGCCCGTGCTCATAAATCCTTATCACGTTCAATATCTTGCAGTATGCCTTATACTAGTAAAAATGATACTTTTGTTGTTCCCACAAGTGGTCCAGAATTAGTTAAACAAGCGTCATCTACACCACAATTACCATTAATTTCTACGAAATCGTCGGAAGTGCAAGTAGATAGCAATACAACGCAAATTTCAGTTACACCAAAAAGAGAAGGACAAGGATCACAATGTGCTGCATTTTTATCTTCTGATCTAGCGCCGCAAAAACAATTGGTTATTAATTATCCAAGCCAGGAAAATTTACAGGAAATTAAAAACGTTTATCAAAAAAATCAACCTGATCAAGAAATTAGCGAACTGTTTCATAGCAATAAACAATTTACCAGTGAACTTTACAGATCACAATCAGTTCCATTACATAGAATGGTCAATCCTGCATTAATGTCACCTATTTCAACACAACATTGCTTATCATCTTTTCAAAGTCAGAGTTTTAATCCATCTACGAGCAGTTCTGTAGCGCCTACACCAGTACCTAGTGAGTTCAATGATTTTGGGTCAATAGGTCAGTCAGAAGTACCTTCAACATATTTACTTGATGATGTTGATCCAAACTTTATATCAGATGACCAAAATTTCTTAATGGGTGATAAAGAAATTACACCTGAAAACATAACAAATATATTAAACATTTTAGATGAAGAAGGAACTCAAAGCTTGCAAATTTTACCAGAGCAATCTGCGGAAGAAGGCTTGATAGAAAATAATTCAATAGTATTGGATGCTTTACCAAATTCAAATTTAAACTTGTCAGAAGAGGATATGTTAGATCCATCAAATGTACTTGATATTCCAGTAGGTGGAGCATTACAGAAAATAATACAGTCACGGTCTTATCCTAATACACCATTACCTGTGCCAGTATCAACATACACACCATCTTATACAGAAGACAGTAATGGATCAAGATCGTATCCTTCAACACCACTTCATACCATTCAATCTCAAGAAACGTATCAGGATACTAACGAACCTATGCTTTCAAGTCCTACTTTGAATTCTTTAAACTTGCACAATGAGACTGTTAATGAATCTGCTTCTAGCAGTTTATGTAGGAATGTTGTGGATTTGCTCGAAGCTAATTTCCTTGGAGAAACTGATACAGAAACAAATGATTTGGACCCACTTGGTAATTTTGATGGATTGCAAGACGTTGATTCACTGACACCTTTATTTAATGAAGTGACAGAGCCTAATCGTTGAAAGCATATACAGAAATAATTCATAGATTTTTTTTGTGATTTTGCATAGTGATTTACCAAAGGTTGAAAAAATAATTTGCATAAATATTTCACTTTAATATACAAAGCATTATAATGGCAGTATAAAAAGATTAATAAATAAATCCTAGTTCCTTGTGCTAATATCAAATGATACATGTCACAGTGATTAGATAAAATTGCATCAGTTTGAACTTTAATTAGAATAATTCTCTTGTTTTATATTTATGACTATAATTTGTACAAATTTCTCAGTTTTTTATCATTAAGGCATTTGAATCTGTACTGCCTATATAATACAGAATAATATTATCAAAATTAAATATCTTTAATTTATGTTTTCAATTGCAACACCAAACGTAATAATAAGAGCTCACGATGGAAAATTCAAATATAAAGATAATATCTTTAAAAAAAAGTTGACTATATTGACTATTGAATTAAATGTAATTTCAATGCAGTTGTAAGTGTATTTATAATTCAACTCAATATATAAAAAGCAGAATAAGTGACTGCCAATCTTGTATTGCTTATTTCTTAAAATAAGTAAAACAAGAAAGAAATCACTGTGATGCAAATACAAATCTTTGAATACTGTATATTTCTTGAATTTGCCACTAGTGAAACTAAAAAGTGTAAATGTCTTCAGTGCAGTCTTAGGTGTCTTTGGTGGAACATTGAGTTTACAAGTGTGAAAAATAATGACGAAGAAGTTGCTCAAACAGAGCGATCGTCGCTGTGTAGTATTGAGATTCAAATAAGTGGAAGTTGATTTTATATAAATACTTTATATTCGTCGTTTCGAAACGTTTGTTTCTAAGTCATTTAAGAACGCGTTATTGCGACTTTGTTATTCAAGCGTTTCTAAGAAATATTTACGATCACCTGCTGGACATTGGTGAGCTTCTTTTTACATAATCGGTATTGAACCCAGTATGTGGTACGCTTTTTCTAACCGGCGAAATGGCGGCAAAAGAGCAAATATGTAAATTTGTAAATGTTTTATTTTATCTTATATTTGTGTAAATTTGTTAAATTTGTGTTTGATTGATAAAACATCACATTTTTAGATCAGAAGTATTCAAACTTCATAAAAATCGGGTGATTATTGATTGTTAACTTTTATATTATATTTTCTCTCCTTGTTTTGTTTTGCCATAGGCTTTAAGTTTTATTATCAATATAAATT